TTAATAAAAATCAGCTTAAATGAATAAAAAATAAAATTGAATATTATTCTCTTTGTATTTTTAGATAAATACAAATTCATTTAAAAAAATAAATAAAGCTTACATGAATGAAAAAGTTTAAAGTTTATCAAATCTTAAAAACCCAGAGAACAAATCCTAAACACTTTTGACATTCGTTTTTTACCATCTATTAATAAATAAATAAATAAATAAATAAATAAATAAATAAATAAATAAATAAATAAATAAATAAATAAATGAATGAATGAATGATTTTGTTATTTAATTAAAAACTTTAATAAATTTTATTTAAATTTTTTATGATAGAAAAATAAAAGATAAAGAATTATTTCAACTGAAAAATTAATTTATATATTGTTAATTAATTAATAATTAATAAAATTACCCAAAGCATAGGCGTAGATATGAGAGATTCGTACACTTTGCTAATTATATGCCTAAATTTGAAGCACCTTAGTCAGTTATTTAATCAGATCTTTATTGTTAAAGTAATAAATATTTGTTTTTTGTTTATTTCAAATTAAACCAATAATAAATTGCTTCTTTCATGTTAAACAAAATTAAAAAAAGAAAGAATAAAATATTTACAATAAATGAAGAAACAATTTTGAGATTTTGTTTAATTTTGCTATGTTAAAACCTAAATCAGTTACACCCTAGTTTCCTATATCATTATTTCTTTTATATTTAAAATAAAATATTGAGTGTTGATTAGTAATATATCCATATGAAAGAAGTTATCATTTATAAAATAAATCAATGAAACAAAATTAACGAATGTTAAGCTTTAGTTTTTTAACTAAAAAATCCAAAAGTATTAAATCAAAAAGTAATTTAATAATTATTTAATACATTAAATTATCAAATAAATATATATTTGAATTTATTTTTAATTTTCTAAAAATCTATATTAGTTTTTTTAGTGATGAATGAATTAACAATTAAAGTTTACTCTAAGAGAAGTGTTAAAGATTTCAAGTTTGTGTATTTCGCTTATTGAGAAATTAAATTTGATGCCCCTACATTTCCAATATTATTACAACTTTATATAAAGAAAATGGGTTAAGTTTATTTTGATAGGATTGAAATTATATTATTTAATTAATTATTACATAGTTATAAAAACTTAATTTATTTTAGAATTCATAAAAAATAAATAATTGACTTATTTCTAAAATAATGTTAAAGCATTGAAAGAAATAATTAATATTTACTATAGTGATATTGCTAAACTTGAAAGGTTAACTAATTAAGCTAATCCGCAGCCCAAATCAGAAGCTCCTTTATCACCAATTCGATTGAAGCTTTGATTGAAAATAAAGAAGTTCATTAGAAATGCTAAAAAAGTAGAAGATATAAAAAAAATAATTTAAATATGTTTAAATCTAAAATCAAAAATGTTTAATTTCTTAAATAAATTATTTGCCAAGATAAAATTACTTTAATTTAAGATCCAAGTAAGTAAGATTAACAAATTTTGTTAATTCATTGCCTAAGTTTTATGCAAAGTAATGACCTATATTATTGTTACTTTTAAATCATAATTTAAATATATTATTAAGTGGTTTCTAAAATTTACGATAAATTCAGTGTCAGAACAGAGAGATTTTATAACTTTGATAGCAAGCTGAACAAATCTTATACGAAATTATCTCCAATTTGATTTCCACTTTTTAAAAATTATATTTCGTTTAGAAAATTATGTTAAAATATGAATTAAAAAGCTATTAATTATAAATAATTTTTTTGTTTATTTATATATTTTTTAATATTGTCAGCAGACAGAAAGAAGTTAATTTTTTTTTTTGCTTTAGAAGTTAATAAATAAAGGCTTTGTTGAGAGCCAACGGAATGATGGATAAATTATTTATATATTTATTTATTGTTTATAATGGCAGCTTCTAAGATATTTATTTATTTGTTAATTAATTAATTAATTAGTTTACCTAAGACTAAGCTTCAGTGTTTAAATCTTATAGCGGTTTTAAGTTTTTGGCTAAGACGCTATTTCTTAGTTAACCTGATCATGAATTAAACTTAAACTTTTATATTAAAAAAATATATTAGCTATTTATTTAAGACTAGCTAATCAAGTAAAAGAAAACCAAAGAATATTAATTTATTTGTGAATTAGTAAATAATAATTTGATTACCTTTACTATAGTTCAAGATCTTATCTTGATAACTCAGGAAGCTTTACCACTTTAGCTGGTGAAGTTGGCAGCTCTTTATTTATCTTAAACCTTCTTTAATAAAAGTAAATTTATTATCATTAAATCAATGAAATAAAAAGAAAAATTTACTCTATATTTATGACCAAGATTTCTAAATTAGCCATATTTTTAAATATCTATTCAATATTTATAAGAAATTCTTTATCTTAATCTATCATTTTTTTTATATTTATATTCATTTTGTTTTAATATTTGAAATTTATAATAATTAATTATAAATTATTTTGATTTTAAAAAACAATATAAATCTTTACCTTACAAAGTATCTAAGAGAAAATCTTAATTAATTATATATAAGTTGTTTAATATTCATTATAAATATTTTAAAACCAGTAACGACTTTTTTAAAATTTTATAAATAATTAATATTACATTACATTTTTTGATTTTATATATATCCCTTTTTTAAAGAAAGCAATTTGATAAATTTGTATTTGATAATTATTATAATTTATTTGTTCGTTTTATCTAAATTAATTTAATATAAAAGTTAATTAATATACTTTTTATGAATTAAATTTTCATAAATAATAAATTGATATACGTACATACATATAATAAATACATACTTTTGAAAAAATAAAAATAAATGATATAAGAGAAAACATAGTTTTAAAATCTAGAACAAGTAAATATTTATTTTTTGATTAAAAATGTTTAAATTTATTATTATCAATAAAAATAGTTTTTAAACTCTTTACCTTAATTGCATAAGGTGCTCCATATTAATTTGAGGTATATTTATTAATTAATTTTATTAAAATTAACTAAATATTTTTCTTTCAATATTTAAAAAGGGAAAATCTAATTGATGATGAGGGTGTATTGCGCTTAGGTTATGGTTTATTAAAGTGCCTTAGTCTTTCAAATTTGACACTTGATCTTTCGTAAAAAGAGTTTATTTGTTTGTGATATTCTTTAATTTAATTTCATTTTCAAAATTTTGCTTTTATTAATAATTAATTTGTTCATTTCTTTTTAATTAATATTTTTTCTTAAATTTTTCAAAATATTTTTTCTTCATAATTTAAAAAGTAAAAATAAAATTGGTTATAAAGGTGCTTCATTCTTAGGTATTTGTTTAGGAGAATGCATTAATCTCAAAAATTTGACACTTTACCTGAGCAATCATTTTTTTTACAAAAAGTATTTTTAATATAAAAATCAATTGAAAACAAAAAAACTAACTCTTTTATTTTATTTATTTATTTATTATCTTTTTATTGATTTAAAATTTTTTTTTTCTTTGTTGCTAATTTAACTGGCTTTTTCATTCAACTTTTGCTTTTATTATTAATTGATTAATTCATATCATATTTTTTCTTCTAAATAAATAAATAATTAACTGTGTAATTTTCCTCAATACTTAAAAAGTCAAAATTAAATTGGTGATGAAGGTGCATCAAAATTAGGTTTTGGTTTAGGAAAGTGCACTAACCTCTAGAATTTGACACTTTATCTTGAGTAAAAGAGTTTATTTGTTTTGCATTGTGATATTTTTGAATAAAATGAATTTAAGCGAATATAATTAACTATTTTAATTTATTTATTTATAAGCATTTTTATTTTTTATTTATTCATATTTATTCTTCATTTTTTCCTTCTAATTAATTAAATTAACTATATATTTTTTCTTCAATATTTATAAAGCTACAATAAAATTGGTGAAACTGGTGCATCAGGTTTAAGTTCTGGTTTAAGGATGTGCACTAATCTCTCAAATTTGACAATAAATCTTGAGTAAAAAGAGTTTTTAATGTGATATTTTTTAACATAAAAATGAATTTAAAACAATTTTATTAACTCTATTAATTTATTTATTAAATTTTTTTTTTTTTTATTAATTTCTTTGTTAATATAACTAATTTTTTTATTTACTACTATTGCTTTTATAATTCATTTATTTTCTATTATTCAATATTTTTTCTTCATTTTTTTGCTTCTATTCTAACTAATTAACCATATATTTTTTCTTCAATATTTAAAAAGAGAGAATAAAATTGGTGAAAAAGGTGCATTAGACTTAAGTTCTGGTTTAGAAAAGTGCACTAATCTCTAAAGTTTGGCACTTAAACTTGAGTAAAAATAATTTATTTATTTTCTTTGAATTGTGATACTTTTGAATTTAAAAACAAATTGAAAACAATATAATTAACTCTTTTAATTTATTTTTTAGCTTTTTGTTAGATTTATTATTCATTTTTAAATTACCTTTTTTTATTTGTATGTTAATTTAAATCATTTTTCAATTAAAAATTTTGCTCTTATTATTAATTCATTCATTTATTTGATATTTTTTCTTCATATTTTCTTTCTTTCTAACTAACTAACTAGCTAACTAATTAATTAACTATATAATATTTCTTCAATATTTAAAAGGATTAATTAAATTGGTGATGAGGGTGTTAAACGCTTAGGTTCTTCTTTAGGAAAGTACACTAATCTTTCGAATTTGAAACTTTATCTAAGGTAAAAACAGTTTATCTGTTTTGAAATGTGATATTTTTTAATATAAAAATGAATTGAAAACGATATTACTAACTCTTTTAATGCATTTATTTTTTTATTTATTAGCTTTTTACCTTGATATATTTTTATTTTTCCACCTAACTAATCTGTTAAGAATACGTTTTTCTTCAATATTTAAAAGGTACAATAATATTGGTGATGATGGTGCATCAGGTTTAGGTTTTGGTTTAGGAAAGTGTGCTAATCTATCAAATTTGACACTTGATCTTGGCAATCATTATCATAACCACTCGTATTTTTTATTTTCTTTTTTTTATTATTCTTGAGTTTTTTTTTTCTTCTTTCTTTGCTATTTGCTTGTTGATTTAACTAATTTTTTCATTTTCAACTTTTACTTTTTTTATTAATTATTTTTCAAGTTTTTTCCTCAGTTTTTCCTTCTAACTTACTAACTATATATATTTTCTTCAATATCTAAAAAGTTCTAATAAAATTGGTATTTAAGGTGGATCAAGTTTATGTTCTGGATTAGGAAAGTGCTCTCATCTTTCAATTTTGACACTTGATCTAAGGTAAAAAAAATAATTTGTTTTGGATTGGTTGCTATATTTTTTGATTATAAAAATTAATTGAAGACAATATAACCAACTAACTCTTTTAATTTATTTATTTAGTATATTTTTAATTTATTTATTTATTTTTATTTTATTTATTTATTTTTCAATTTGGTAACATTTTTCAAAATATTTCATTCTATTACTTTTTTTTAGTAATTTTCACTAATTTATATTAAAAGCAACAGCAAAATCTAGAAATCAAATTAAGTGAAAGCAAAATGCCTCAAATCAAAAAGATTAGTTTTCTTAAAAATAGATTTGTGATTACTAAATACTGGTGAAAAAAAATAATAAATATAAAAATATTTGGAATATTATTATAAAATATATTACATTTTTTAATATTGAGTAATATGGTAATTTTACCTAAAATTTAGATAAATTTATTATTATTTTTATATTAATAAATATTGTTTGTTGGTTAATTTGATTAAAAAAACTAAAATTTAAATATTAAATTTGTTTAAATTAAGAAATTCCTCTAAAATAAATTTAAAAAAAAATGTTTTAATTAATTAATTGCTATTGTCTTACTATGTCTTATTTAATTAAATAATTGTAAAAAAAAAAAGCTGAACAAATTTGTAATATAAAGGTATATATAGCCAGTTAATTCTTGTATTATTTATTTTATTTCTAATTTCATGTAAACCAACTTAGCTTGTGTTAATTTCAGAGAAAAACATTTCTTTAATTTTTTTGTTTGTTTATTTACATATTAAATTAATGAATGAATTTTAATAAATGTTGATACAACATAAAATATTTTTTTAAAGCTAAATTATTTAATAAATAATAATTCAGCTTCTTAGCATGAATATGATTATAAAATTTTTATTTATAGACAGAATAGCTCAATTACAAAAGTTATAAATAATAATTATTCATTTATTTCTAAATCAATTTAATAAATTTTTTAATTTAATTTAAAATTCCCAAATTTTTTTGTGATGAAAATATTTTTTTAAATTCACTCTAAATTTTCTTATTTTTTTTTTAATCATAAACTATTTTCCTGGAATTCAAAATTATCTTGCTATATAATAATTTCTTAATTATCTTACTGATCGATTTATTATACATATAAATCATCATATTCTTCATCATCTTCATAATAATAATCATTGATTTCGTCTTAAGCTTCACCAGAGTAATCACATAAAACTTAATATTGACAATTAACTAATCTCTTTATTTTTAAAACACTATTTTTTAGCCTATTCACACACTCCTCTTTAATATAAATACTCCTAGTTTATATTTTAATAAATTAATTAATTAATTTGGGTAATTATTTGTAATACTAACAAAATATTTATTAAAAAATTGTTTTAACTTTAAAAAAATTGCATTTTCAACAATTATTTTTTAATAGGAAAAAGATTAATTAATTAATTACCATATCATCAAATCTAAATATTTAAGGTTTTAAAATTTTACTAAAGAAGAAACTAATTTTGAAGCACCTTCATCACCAATTCTATTAGAGCTTTAAATATAGTTGAATGAAAAATTAAATGAATAAAATATTTGTTATTACTGAATGAATAAAAGTAGATACTATCCTAACTTTTATTAATTTATTTAGAAAATAAAATAGTTAAATTTAAAGTGAATTTACTCTAAATTAAGTTTCAATATTTAAATGCTGGTACATTTTAATAGACCTAAACCAATATCTGAGGCACCCTAATCACTAATTTTGTTATATCTTTTAAAAATAAATAAATAAATAATAAAGTATATTAAAGTATGTATGTATATATTACAAACTTTAATTTTAAGTTTGTAAAAAAGAACAAATTAGTCATTTAAAAAAATAACTGTATTTTAAATGGTAAATAAAATGATTGTTAAAAAGGAAAGAAATTATTTTTGTTAGAAATTTACGATAAATCTAAAGATAAGTTAGAGAGATTAGAGAACTTTGCTAGTCCAATTAGTATATCTCGTGCCACTTCATCACCATTATTGCTAAATCTTTTAAGGGTTATGTTTAATTATAATCTCACAAGGTAAGTTAATTTATATACTTACTTATATTTTAATTCAAAAGTTTAAAGGTGAGCTGATTTTGCTAATCCAAATAAGAACTAAGAAAGTTATTTGTTAATTGCTTAATTAAAAAGTTCTCTAATGTTTTAATAAATAAAACTTTTTAGTTAATTAGTTAGTTAGTTAGTTTATTAATTAATTTAAAGTTTTTTTTATTTAATGGCTTTTATTCTTTTATTTTTATAATAAATTTATAATATAATAAATAAAAGTGTATTTAAAACTTTATAATTCACTAACTAAAAATTAGTTTTTTTATTTAAACTTTCCATCCAAATTTAATTTTTTAATTAAATAAAAAATATCATAAAATCATTTTTTTAACAATTTTTAAATTCTAATATTAGTTTTTATTGATAAATTCAGATTTTCCTAAGAAGAATAAATTAAAATATTAAAAAAATGTTAAATATTGTTTTGCATGTAATTTTAGACATTTTAATTTGTTTGTTTGTTTGTTTAAAAAATAAATAGGTATCTTCAAATTTTAAATTCTTTATTTATTTATTTATTTATTTTATTTATTTATTTATTTATTTATTTTTATGAGCATAATATTTTATTTTGAATTTGAGAAAAAGAGTATTAAATTTACAAAAAAGTGAACTTGAGAATTGACAGATTCGTGCATTTTTACAAACCAGAGCTTAATTCAACTAATTCTTAAAGCTGAAATTCATAAGGGCTTTTAATATTAATTGAATGATAAATTATTTTTTTAAATATAAAAGAATAAGAGCAAACTTTATAATATTAATTTATATTTTAATAGCTTTTCAAATTTTAGATTGATAATTATTGATTTATTTGCTGCTAGCTGATAAATGGAATTTTAAAATTTTAATAAATTGTTAATTATAAAAAGGAAATTAAATAGTTTACATAAATGTAAAAGTAGAAAGTTTTTCACATTTTGCTAACCCAGAACATAAAATAGAAACACTATGATAGCTTGTCTTTTTCCAACTATTTATTTATTAATTTAACAAGAAATATTTTTTAAAAATAATAAATAAATAAATTTAAATATTTTATAATTTAATAAAACAATAAAAATCCTCAAATATTAATTATTTATTTATCTATTTAATGATGTTTATAAGTGTTAATATCAAATAAATTAAAATATCAAAAATAAGATAAATAAATAAATTTGATTGAGTTTATTTACCCTAATTTTAGATATAAATTAGTCAGATTTTCAAATTAAGATAATTGATTCCCTAAAGCAGATAAACCTTTGTCTGTAATTTTATCAGACCTTTTAAAATAGTTTTTATTTTTGATTTTAATAATAAGTATAACAATTTATTCAAAGGATAAAAATATTTTTGCTTTGTTTTTAGATAGAAAAGTTGCTTTTGAATAAATAGGTAATCGAATATACTTAAAACCAAGATTTAAGTGTGATAAATGAACGCATTTTGTTAGACTACAGATTAAATTTGAAACTCCTAAATCGCTTATCGCATTAAACCTTTTTATAAAATAAATATCAAATAAGTTTTGAGTCAAATTAATTTAATAAACAAATTTCATCACTTGTTTTTATTTAATTAAATGCTAAAAATGAAAATTAACTATTTACGTTAGATCAAGACACAATGTAGAAAGATTAGTAAATTTTGATATTTCTCTCCCTAGATCAGTTGTAAAGCAATCACCAAATTGATTACTGCTTTATTAAATAAATTAACAGTTAATAATAATAAAATTAAAGAATAATTTTCAATCTAAAAATTAAGATTTACCAAAGATCCAGTGATAGACTTAAGATTTAAGAACACCACACAGAATCAGATCCTAAATCCAATTTATAATTGTCATTTATTTTATTCATCCTTTAATCAAATATTATATATTTAAAAACTTATTAATCTATTATTATCAAGCATCTCAAAATATTTAAAACTCTTTTTAAATATCTTGAAAAACAGGGAAAAACATTAATATATTAATAAATAAATAAACGATTGATTGAATTAAATTTACTTAAGGCAAATACCAAATTTTGAAATTGTGGTTAATTTTGACAGTCCAATGATCACATCTTATAAAGCTTAGTTTGGAGGGAATTTACTGTATCTTTTAGAATAAATAAATTAAATTTAATAAATTAAGAAAGATTGTTAAAAATTTTATAAAAGTGAATGGATAAAGTAATATTTTATCAATAAATAGAGCTAGATTATACGAATAAAAGTAAAATTTAAAATGGGGATGGATTAAAAATCAAATTGAAAAATGGAATTTACGAAAGATTAATATAGAAATCTTCAACATTAGTAAAGTTAGGTAGAGCTGAGACTAAATCCGGTAAATAAAAATGACCATATTTACGATAGCTTTTTATATATGTAAAATATAATTTAATTATGCATTTTAAAGACAAAAAAATAAAAATTTTAGTTAGTCAATTTTAGATTTAGAATGAGTTTCTATAAAAGTTATCTTATATTTTTAGATGACATAACCATTAATATTATTAAATCAAATTTACTTCAGATTGATCTGAGCCTCTTTTTATTATAGACTGATCATAAGCTATGAATTAATTTATCAATTAATAATAAGTTTATCTTTATTTTAGGTAGTTCTTTTCAAATAAAAAATTACATTATTTTAGATTCTAAAAAAATATCCTTCGTCATATTCCATTTTGTTTTTTTGATAATATTTATTTATTTGCTTTTAACTAAAATTATTTATTTATTATGAATTAATTATTATATTTTATTTAACTATACCGAATATACTTTTAAGACTAAGCAAAATTCTTAATTTTTTAATCTTTAGACTCCAAATTCTATTTTGATTAAAAAACTTTAAAAATAATTATAAATAGGTGGGATGATTTTATTCTTGTTCTATTTTTTAATAATTTTTCAAAAAAACTATTTTTTACATTTTAAAATAAAATTAAAAATAATTTTCATTTATTTTTTGTATTTTAATATGAAGATTAATTGAAATAAACTCAAATGTAAAATAGTCAATCAGTAAACTAACTAAAAAGAATACTGAAATATCAAAAAATATGAATCATATAAAATAAAGTTAAAATTCAAATTACAAATAGATTTTCAAGAGATAATTTAAACCAATTTATTAAGTCAATCTTATTAAACATTTTTTAAAGTAAAAACCAAAAATTATTTATTAGAGCAATCAAATATCTTTTGAGTATAAATGAAAAATTGTTAATAATTTACTAATAAAAAGAAATTTATTAGTTAGACAATATTTTATCATTTTTTTTGAAGCATTTATATAAATATATGAGTATTCTATTTTATAATTTACATGAAACTTTCAAATAAAAATAAATAAATAGATAAAAATAAATTATTTGATGGGTTAAACCTAAAAAATAAAAAAAATAAAAAAAATTTAAATAATTCATTAAATGATTATTTGAATTTTACTTAAATTAAATAATTAAATTTCTTCAATTATTTTGTTTGTTTGTTTGAAATAATTTATGATTGAAATAAATTAATTTTTATTAGTATTAATAAAGTTTAAACCCAAAATAAATATAAATAAGTAAGTTATAAACAAAATAAGTCTTTATTTTTTACAATAATTATTATTTATTAATATGAATATTCATTAACTATCTGCTTGATTTTAATTAATAACATCATTTTATAATCCTAAATTATTAACTTAAAATCCATTTTCTTAGTAATCATTATCGTCTTAATCAACATCTTCTTCATCATCTTAATCATCTTCATCTTCATCTCCATCACTATTAATATTATCATCACCATTTTCTTCATCAGAATTATCATAAAAAACCAAAAAACTCTTTAAAACTAATCTTTTTATTTTTAAGACTTACCTTTATAGCTTTTCAATACAAGTCTTTTTTATTTTATGTTTCCTTTTTTAATAATAAAAGTAAATAAATTTAGTTAAGTTCTTTATTGGATAAATAAATTATTTTTTCTAAATAATTTCAATTAAAATTAACAAAATTAAAAAAAATAATTTACTATATTTTTAGAATCAAGATTTTGAGTTTTAACAGTTTTCTTATTCCATAAACTAATTTTGATACTCCTTCATCGCCTATTTTATTCCCACTTTAAGAAAATTAATAAAAAATACACATAAATATGTATTTATCAAAGTAAAAAATATTTTTAAAATTCAATCAAATTTAAATTGATTTAACAAAAAACTTAATAAATAAAAATTTTTGAATAATTTAACTAAAAATTCAAATCAAGTTGTTAATTTTTATTTAAATTATTATGAAATTGAACAAGAAAAAAATTATATTTACAATAGATCAAGCTTTAATTATGAAAGATTGTTGCACTTTGCTAATGCAATACCTAAATCTGATACTCCCTAATCACCAATTTAATTACGTCTTTGGAATAATAATTAATTATTAACATTTTTAAATAGATATTCAAAATTAAATAAATAACTAAAAATCTTTACTATAAATCAATATTTAAATTTGATAAATTAAAGCATTTTGACAATCCAGCTGCTATTGCTTCAGCACCTTCATCATTAATATTGCTTTATCTTTTTATATTTTTCTAAGAATTAGAAATATTCTTTTTCTTAATTTACCTAAAATCTAACTTTAAATATTAAAGATTGACTAAATTTGCTATTCCAGATATAAAATCAGAAAAACCATAAGTGACAATTTTATCAAACCTTTTATTGCAAATAAAATGTTTTATTATTTGTTGATAATTTATTCAATGATTAATTATTCTTAATACGGTATTTTATTATTAAAATTTATTATCTATCAAATAGCTTAAAATGATTAAAAAATATATGCATTTAAATAATATTAATTTATTTATTTATTTTGCAATTATATAAAAATCTCAAATTAAATTTACTTGAAATCAAATTTTAAAGTTGATAAATTTGAGCATTTTGTTAATCCAGCTCCTAAATCTTGTAAATCTTAATCATTTAAATCGTAAGGGCTTTTTTTTAATTTTGTGTTAATTGAGTATAAATTTTAAAGCAGATATTCTAAAAGGAATTAAATAAGTTTACTGTAAACAAAGACCTAATTACAAATAAATTAATAAATTAAATTTACAAAAATGAAAAGGTTTAAAGATTAGCGCAATTTGATACTCCTGAGCACAGCTGCGTGATACCAAAATGACTACTTTTTGACCAGCTAGATTTATTAAAGTTAAAAATGCGAATTTATTTTTTAAAAAAATAAAGCAAAAAAAATTAATTAATTGGTTTGAATTAAAAAATAAAATTTTATATTGAAATTAATTTTAGAGTTAAATAATTCTATTTAATTTATTAAAAATAAAAAATTGTTATTTTACTAAAAATAAAGTCGCAAATTTAGAAGAGTAGTGCATTTTGCTATATTTGAACCTAATGCTGATGCTCCCTAATCAGTGATTTTATCAGATCTTTTAAATTAAAATAATTTTTATTTTAGTTCTAAATAATAAACATAAATTGTAAAAAAAATATTATCAAATTTTGAAATTAGATTTCAAAATATGTTAAAAAATTGAATTTATTTTTTACTTTAAACCAAACAGCAGCTTTGAAAGCTTTTAGAATTATGATAGACTAGAACTGAATTACGATACACCTAGATCACCAATTTAATTGTTACTTTATAATTAATGCAAATATAATTTAGTTTTAACAAAAGTATTACAAATATATTGAGAAAATATTTAATAATTATTTAAGTAAATTCATTAAAAAAATTCATATTTTGTTTGAAAAGATTAAATATATAAAAGCAGTTTTAATTTACCCCAAATCGATGTTCAAATAAAAGATTAGAAAATTTTGCCAATTCAAAACCTAATTCCTAAGCTCCACTGTCATCAATTTTATTTAGGCTTTAATTTAATTTAACAAATTAAGTAATTAGAATTTAATTAATTATTAAAAGAAAAATTAGCAATTAAAAAGTATAAAGAAATTTGAAGTAGAACTAATTAATCAATTAAAAATTCATTATACTTTAAACTTTATATTAAAAAAGATACAATTATCTAGCTAACTGCTAACTAACTAAATAACTACAAATTAATCAACTAATTTTTGAAATAAACTAAATTAATATTAATTTCTTTATTGAAAGAAATTGAGAGATAAATTTTTATCTTAATAATTTATTTTTGATTTTTAGATGTAAAATAGAAATTAGTTCTAATCAAATAACTTTGAAAACTGAGTTAAAATTTACTTGAAGAAGAGAGAAAGATGTGAGAGTTTATTGCATTTGGTTAATTAGGATATTAAATTAGATGACCCAATAGAAGTGATCTTGTTCATGCTTTATAATATAATTAATTATTGATAAATTTAAGTAATTTAGAGAAATCAAAAATTTATTTAAAAGATCATGCATGCTGGCAATTAAAAAACTAATGTCTTTGTTTTTTCAGTCAAATTAAATGTAAAAATTATTTTGGTTTATTAGGTTAAATTTGCAGAAAAAAAAGAGTTTACTTTAATGAGATGACCAAATGTTCTATGTTAAATAGTTGTGATATTCCAGATCCTAAATCTGAAACTCCTTAGTCATAAATATCATTGCAACTGTTTTATAAAATTAATTTTAATTTTAAATTTTTTAAGAAAAATATTTTAAAAAAGAATTAAATAAATAAATAAATAGCTTAAACTTAATAAAAACATAAATAATTCTTCAAGCAATTTCAATTAAATTTTTATTTATTTGATTGTTCAAAATAAATGAATGAAAATTTACTCTAATTGTAGATTCAAAGTGTTAAGTTTAATTAATTTAGATAATCGAGAGCTTAAGTCTGAGGTTAGCTCAGAATCTATGTAATTCAAACTATAAATAATAGAAAAAATTTATTATACTTTTTGTTAGAAATAAAACTATGTATGTGTAAATATTTTGATTTACTTAAATTTGAGTATCAAGTTGAAAAGATTAGTGCATTTTTCTAATCCAGGACACAAATTTGTTGAACATTCAGTGCCTATTTTATTATACCTTTATCATTTAAAATAAATTGTTAAAAAATATATTCGAATTAAATTAAAAATCAAAAAAAACAAGCAACTTTCTATTAAATTATTGATTTTATATAAACATAAATAATTACTGTAAATCAAGTTTTAAAGCAGTAAGATTGTAAAATTTGTATAAATCCGCGCATAGATCTGAAACAAATTAATCACCAATATTATTTCTCCTATTAAGTTTATTAAAAAATATATAATCATAAAAATAACCCAAACAATAAAATATGATTTTTTGGATTAAAAGTAGAAAGAGTAAATTAATTTAAATATTTTGCTAATTAATTTTGATAATATTTCAAAGAATAGAATTAAAATTTTAATCAATCAAATAGTATTATAATAAATAATTCCTTTTTGTTAGTTTTTAATTAAGAAACAAAGGATTTTTTTGTTTGAAAATGAATTAAAACAATATTTTATTGATTAGATATTTGTTAATTCAAAAAAATATAGAAACAGCTGTTTTACTTTGCTAGTTTAATGTTTTTACCTTTTAAAATATTCCTTTTTTTAGATGCTAAAAAATATTTTTAGTAAGAATTTTTAATTAAATTAAAATTAATTTGGTTAAATAAATCATATAAAAAGTATTATTAAACTTATTCGATTTCCTTATGGTTTTTTTGATAGAAAATAAAAAAGATGTTATTTTAAAGTCGAAAAAATAATAAAAAAGTTAATTTATTTGATAAATATCTCATAAAATATTTTATTCCTTTGAGTTTATTATTCTGAATTATAAAATTTATATTATATTGATTGAAAGAAAAAATATTATTATTATTCTGAATTATAAAATTTATATTATATTTATTGAAAGAAAAAAGCCAAATATTTTGAAAGCAAAATAATAATTAATCATTAAATGAATGCAAATTCAATCTTAATTTTATATTTATTTTTTCTGTGAAATCAAAATCCATTTTGAATAGATTAAAGTAGAACTAGATGAAAATAATTTAGACTTACATTAAATTAATTTGTAGTGAGGATATTTATGCACATTTGGCCAACTCGGATCCTAAACTAGATGTAAAGCGTTTGCCGATTAAATTTTATCTTTTAATTTAAATTAATTAGAACATTTTTAGGAATAATCAAATAAATTTACTGTAAATCAAGTGATAAAATTTATAGCTTAGCACATTTTGATAATCCAATGATCAAATCCTATAAAACCTAGAAGGGTATTTTGTTGTTTCTTTTTTAGCAAGAAAATAAATAAATAAATAAAATAAAATAAAGAGGTAAAATGTTTAAGTAAGAAAATAAATTTAAATATTTAAAGAAAATTAATATTGAAATTAGGCTTGAATGAGTATTTTGGCAAGAAGGTTGATTTCAATTTAGTTTCAATATTTATTTCAATATCAATCAATTTTTATTAAATTAATCAAAGAAAAATGAATAAATCAAGTTAGATTACTTTAAATCAATTATAAAACTTTAGAGATTAGTGCATTTATCAATAGCAAACCCTAAATCCGATATTCTTTTGTGAGGAATTTAATGATAGCTTTTTACATAATAGAAGAAATTAGGCAATCAATAATCATTATAATTTAAGAATTATTCGATTAGGAAATTATGGAAAAGCGAGCGAAAAATAAGAAGATATTCTCTATAATTTTTATTTAAATTCATTGAGATGCTTTATCAATATAGAGTTTTTGTTTATGAATTTAATTATTTATTCTACTTAGCCTGCATCTTTTTTTAACACTCAAGTAGTAAGAAAATAATGATTTCTAATATTACTCCAGATCTAGTTCTATATGATCAGATAGCGGTGAATCTAGAAACTTTTTTATAAGAAAGATAAGTATGGCATGAATAAATAAGCAAATATATATTTCAATTCTAAATTACAAATTAGATATTTCTATAGTAAAATTAATTGTACTTCATTTTTTTTCAAGATAGTTTATTTATTTTTAAAGAGATAATTTATAACTAAATTATTATGAATTATGGAAGACTTTGATTAATTAAGATTTACCTAAAAAAGAATTTGATTTACATATTTATTTCTTCCTATATATATTTCATTAATATTATTATTATTATTTTTTTTTTTTTTCAAAATTTTTAAAATATTCAACCTAATTATTTACTTATCTATCAATTTCATAATTTTTAAATTTTTGTTTTTGACTAATTTTAAGCAAGATTTTTTTGATCTTTCTTTTCTCTCATACCCTTTTTCTAATAAATTAGAAATAAAAAATTTTATTAAAAAAATATCAAAATTTATTCAAAATTTAATATCTCTATTCTAATAAAAAATTTACTGCACAATATATTTGTAAAATATTAATTAAACTAGATAAAAAGTTATCTATCAAATTAAGAGCAGCCTAAATTTTATTGATAATATTTGTTGTGTTAAAAATGAAATCTTTGAATCCAGAGTTTGACAAAATCTTTTAAAATACATTCATACTATAAACTATCAATTCATATTTATTTTTAAAGGAGTTATTCTGTTTGTTACAAGATAGATAGATATTATTATTTATATGAATAATTAGAACAAGATTTGCTTGTATGTTGAGATTAATCCTAACTTTTTACATGTCTATTTTTACTTTTAAAATTTTAATAATTTAATTCTAAATATAGAAATGTATTAAAAAATTAATTTTTATAAAATAATTTATTTATTTAAAGTGATTTAATTAAAAAAAATGCAGATCAAACAAAAATTTGAGATTTTTATCAATTCTTAATTAGGTTAATCAACTTATAAATTATTTATTAGTTAATAATTCAAATGATAATTGTTTCTTTTAATAATTTTTACTGATTTTAATTAAAAATGTTGATTTGGTTTCTACTAAATATTTATTTCCTACTACAAAATATTTTTATATACTTATTGTTAGTTGCAGAGTATATGTAAGTGGATATAAAATATTCTAGTATTTATTTTTGTTTCTTATTTTGCTATTTTAAATTTTCAAGTTCTTAAACTATGAGTTTTTTTATATGAAATATTTTATTTTACTTTGCAAGACAAATTATTAATTTTAATAATAAATTTTACTTTAATTTTGTTAGAATAAAATAATTAATTTTTTATTTTAAAAAAGGTATAAAAAACCGTTAATATTTATTACTTATATATATAACATATAATAATTTTATATTTATATTTTTTATTTCATAAAACTAAAATTAAAACAATACTCATAGAAGCCATCAAAAGCTAGAGCAACTAGCTGCTTGATGTTCCTGCTGTAATTGATACGTTGATTGGAATTGCTGTTTGGCTACTGAATTCTGAGTTTAGTATTTAAAAGTATGCTCCAGGTCCATTTATCGATTGATTAGGAGGATTCTAACATTTAATTGAAAGTTGATTAAGTTCATAAAATTAAAGATATTTGATAGTAGAGTCCGACCCTGTATTACTCAAAGCTAAAAATGATAAAATTTAATCATTTTAAGAGGTTTTAATAATGTTTATGGCTTTTTCATAATTGTAATTTGATTAAACTGAACTTTGGATGATGTATGTAGTGCTTAAGGAAGAACTATAAGGTTAATATGACACGATATACAACTAATTTTGCTAAGCTGTTGAATACATGAATAAAATGTAATTACCTTAGGTTAACAGAGCTCCGTATCCTGTAAAGGTTAAGTCTTCTTCTCTTTTAAAAGTGTTAGCTAGTTGTAAATTAAAAGGTGTCTATTGATCTGATGATGAGCTTACTGCTATCTCAAACATATCTGAGTTACTGAAAGACAAGAAGAAAGAATTAGTTTGGCTTTCATGAGCTGTAAGGATATTTTATTTTTAGTAAGCGTTTAGTTAAGGGATAGAGCTTAAGATGCTAACAGCTTACATATTATCTACTAAATTTAAATAAATTTTTCCATTTGCTGATATGTAGATATAATTGTTTAATGCCTGAATCCATATAGAATTTACTAAACTTAAGCCATTAATTTATTGACTGGAAGCATCGTAATTGCAGTCAATAATTAGTTTAAGGCTTGAAGGGTCTGCTGTATACTTACACAACTGTTATAACCCAAAGTTTTTACTGTCTTTAATTAGCATAACTGGACCTAACTGAGAATCTGTATAGACTTTAGTAATAATAAGGTTTTTTTGAGCAAAAAATTAATCAAAAGAACCAGTATAAGTTCCATTTGTGGTTTTGTAAGTTATTTATTTGCTAGAGATATTTTAATTTCCTGTGAATTGTACAGTGTCAAGCAATATTTAATTAATTGTATAATCATAGCAGATTACATTGAAAGTAAGCTAAGTTTAGATTGATTCCTAAGTGGTTTGTGTGCTTATTGTTGATTCGTCAACGAATAGGAAACAATTTTAAATTGTGCTATTGAAAGAAGTATAGAGCTGATTTCCAATGTAAACAGTATTAGCCATGGTTTTGGCAAGCAAGTCATCCATTAATTATATTAAATCAGACACCATTTATCCATCTTAAGTATTAAGGAATTATTAGACATGGGAATCGATTTTGGAATTATCGATTAAATCGATTTTTTTTTATCGATATCTTAAAATCAAAGTCGAGTCGATCAAAGATTTATATGTCTGAAAAAAAATCGATTCGAAGAAAAAATATTTGAAAATCGATTTTTTTGAAACTAAAAAAAATTCAAAATACAATAAATAGAAGTGATAAAACTCAGGAGAAATATTATTTTTTAATTTCATCAATTGATAAAATTTCAAAATCAAAATGTCTATTTTAATTATGGTAATTTATTAATTTCAAAAATTAAAATGTCTATTTTAATAATAGTAATTTATTTTGAAAGGAGAAAATATATTTTAAAAATCGATTAAATCGATTTCAAAAAATCGATAATTGACAAAAAAAAGTCGAAGGATTTTTGAAAAGGAAAAAAAATCGAAAGTCGAAGTCTAAAAAATTTTGAATCGACTCCCATGTCTAGGAATTATAGATTTTAAGTGACTTAAGCTGTCACACATCCATTAGTAGATGAAATTTCCCATCCAAGTAGGTTAGATGGCACCATTCCTTATGTATTTACTTTAACTGAGGAACCTTCAAAAACTATGTTTTGGTTTTAAAACTGTGTTTTAATTAAATTAACTTGATTTTAGTTGCTTTGATTGACAATAATTTCTGCATTCTTTGAGCTCACATCTTTTTGAAGAAGGTAATTGATAGAAAGGTTATCATGAGAATTTATTGTTAGAGTATTCATAAATGAGTATTCAAATGTCTACAAAAATTACTATTAGTTGTTAACTTCAACGTCAACTTATAGCATTGTAAATTCATTGATTGAGTATGATACAAAATTCTAATTACTATCAAGTAACCCAATTGTGTTTTCTGCGAAGTAAAGCTGATTAAAGTTAGAAAATTAGAAAGGGAATTTAAATACCTTATAGAGCTGATTTTAAGCAGATATTTTGTTTAATCTAAACAAATTAACTATTTAGAGATCTTGAGACTAAACTATTAAATACTCTTCTGCATTCATCAGTTGTTACAATTAGAATTACCTTAGAGCTTTCATTTGACTTAAGTTTTATACTCCAGATAAGTTGATTTACCTTAGGAAAATAGCATTTTTTCCATCACTGGTGGTCTAGTAATTGTATTAATTAATAAATATTGTGTTGGCGGAATCTCTAGTAACTAGCAAAAAGCTACGAGAGTAGAGAATAATTTCCTAAAAATATTAATTTTTAGGAATTTAGACCTGAATCTTCTATTGCATTTGTCCTAAAAGACAATCAAATAAATAGATATTATTTGAGCTATCAGTAAAGTACAAAATTCCATTTGATGAAAGCATTGAATTGATAGGATAAGATATCTGGCCATTCAAAGGAGTGGATTAGGTCATTTAAGTAACTATAGAGCTTTTTTAACTCTGTACGAAGAAAGACATGATTGTAAGTTGGTCTTTGCAGAATACAATAATTAAGTTGTTAATGATATCAGCTGTGAAATAGAAGTTTGAATTATCTGAGTATTAACATTGCAGAGGCACATCAAAGAATTAATAAGTGCTTGGATCTGTTTATTAAGCAAACACTTTAATAGCATAATTTTAGTTGTTATCAACATACGAAAAATAACCAGAATTGTCAACGTTTATCAATTAATTAGGAAGGATAATTTACTATAAAACTTGGAGATTTGAATTGCTGTCAAGTAAATTGCTTTTTACTTATACTAATGAAATTGAGACCTTTTAATCTTAAGTGACAGACTAAATAACTATGAGATCAGTTTAAGTTGAATAGATGCTAACAATATTTTTAATAGAGCTTTGAAGATTTCTTAAGCTTGTTGATGAACCATAGGACTAAGAATTCTATAAATTTGTTTGGTTCAGTAAACTTAGTGACTGAATGCTTCCGTTGATGGTTAATTCTTTGAAACTATTACTGAAATTTTAAACTAAGTTTAAGTTAGATCCAATAACAGAGTCTTCAATATTGAATTATTAAGATACTCCTTCCTTTAAATTAACAATCAAATTCTCATAGTACAAGTTCTTTAAAACGCTGACATTGCTGAATCCTGTTGAATCTAAAGGAAGAGAATCAGAGATTACTGAAAGTGATTAATTAATCAGCTTATTTGTAAATGTTAAGCTATATTGCTATTCTTAAAGAGCACTTTGAGTATATGAAAATCTTGGTTATTAGAAAAGGACTTGACTCTGCTTGAATGAAGTAGAATTAGAAATTTAAATGTAATTTAAGAGTGATATCGATTAGAATGGAATAACACTGCTGAGATAAAAAGAGTTGATACTAGGAACCTAGAATTGAGTTAACACTTAACCTGTCATTGAGTTCACTCCTATCAAGTAGTTACTAGTTGTAATTTGGATGAAACTTTCACTTTAAATGTTAATATTTAAATAGTTTCCTTAAAAGTTGAATACTTTAAGAGAAATATTCTAACTTTAAATTAATTAAGAGCCACGAACTATTATTTATTTCAAGTTCAAACTAGAATTGTCACCACTTAAATGGAAGATGTAGACTTTTCCATTAAATTATTGAACTTACTGAATATTTCCAACATCTTCTAGCTAGGTTGAAGTTCCTACTAAACTGAGTGCTTGATTTCCAAATTTAATAGAAAACAAATTGCTGCTTTGATATTATTCATTCTTACAAGCAATGTAGACATTTAAGCCTGCGTTAAAGATTGTAGCTTTTTCTGATGAAGAACAAGGAGTGTTGTTATTTTGGATTGCTTGCATACTGCCATTAGAGCTAATCAAGTAGAGGTTGATTTACTTATCAAGGTTATTCTATATTCCAATGAAATAAATGGAATTGTCAGAATTAGCAAAAACGGCATAGAAAGGATCTGAAACATTAAAGATTCCGCTTCCTTTCGTAGAAACAAAAATGCTTAGTACTTGTTTGTCTTGCTAGAAATAAAAGTAACCAGGAATCGAAACATTACCTGTCCTATATGTGAAAAAACCTAGATTCTGTTTAATAAGAGTGACTTTGATTATTTAAGAGTTAGCATCAGATGTAATACTATTGGAAGCCAAAAGAGTCATTTATACAGAATTTTATACTTTTCCAAGCTAATAAAGAGAAATAGTAATTATGTTTTGGTCTTGAGTGATTTCTACTCTCTGCTGTAACCCTTTGCCGATGGAGATCTAATCAAATTACAAAGGGGGGATGTATTTTATTTGAGTAGCCTATGCAATCAAAGAAAATGGTTAATCTATAGAGAAAGCAGATTAAGTCGAGGACTGAACTTGAAAAACATTTGATATGAGCTAGAAGTAAACAGATAAATCAACTACTCTAGTTTCACCAACTTAGGTTGCTAACTTTATTTGTTGCTAGCATAGTATGAGCTAAAATGAAGCTAAAAATAGTAAGCAATAAGCAAGCTTTAACCTCATTTAGAAACAGATATCTTTATCTAATATTTTATTCTGCTTTATAATGCAAAATTTGATTAATGTAAGTTCTTAAAAACTAGTAAATTATTAATGCTTAAAAATCAATATCTTTACAAGAAATAAATCTTCATTGAAGTTGAGTATTCTTAAAAATAAATATTCGAAAATCTTATTTGTTATTAAGTGTCATCACCAAATGCATTTTCAATATATGTAATTAGATCATTATAATATTATAATAATCCTTATGAAAGCAAATAAACAAAATTTTGAGATAGATACCCTTTCAATTATTTTATTTTTTTGTTTGTGAGTGAAGTAATTCTAAATGAGTAAATAGATAGCGAACTTTATAATACCTCACCTAATAAATAAGCTGATGTAATTTAAGATCTTACATATATTCACCATCAAATATTCATGATTAAATTTGTATTTTTTATTTTATATTCAATAACTTAATTATTGTTTATCATAATAGATAGAAACATTAACAAGTATTTTTAACTTACAAGATTACTCAAATATAATTTAATAAAAAAAATATGTAAAATAGAATTGTAATATATTTATATTTATGTGAGATATTTATGAATTGATGGATTTTAATTTTTCACATTACTTATAATTCTAAGTTTATATTTTACTTGAAAATAAATTAATTTTAAAATGGAAATAGAATTTACTTTATTTGAAAAAATTTTTGTTATTTGATGACAAGGTAAAAGATTTTCCAGCACAGCTAATGTATAAATTATTTGGGATCTAAAAAAAATGTTATCTATTTTTTCATTGTAAAATTAGTAAAAAATACATTTGAAAATTTTTATGAGGATTATAAGAAGATAAAATGATATTTTATGATTAATGAAAATTCATGAATAAATAAATACTAAATAGTGATTCCTATAAATCAAAAAAAGCATCTTAATATATATAAAATTAATTGATAAAAATAAAATAGTATTATGAATTCATTATTTATGTAATTGCATCTAAAAACTGTTTATTATTTGAGAAAGAAAATAGGTCAATTATAGTTTTGATAATAAATAATTAGAGCTTTAACAATAAAATAATTAAATTAATTCTTCAATATTTTTTATATTTTACTGAGAAGATTTTTTGAAAGAAAATTAATACATAAAATAAAATATTTTTTTTTATTTTTATTAATAATAATATTTATTAATAAACAAACCTAAATGATTATCATGGATAAAAATTATTGATGAATTTTATAAATGAATTAAGTATTAATGTATGTATATATGAATGAAAGAATTAATATCAAAATATATATATTTGGTTTCTTTTACTAAAATACAGATTGAAAGATAATTAATTACAAGATATTAATTTTATAATTTTGTATTAAAATTTTTAAAAGTAAACAAATCTGTTAAAAATTGTATAGATGCATAAGTTAATGTTAGCTAATTATTAGTATTTTTTGTTATTATTGTCAACCATTTCACAATTATATCGCTTTATTTTTGAGTTTTTGATATGTAAAACTCCATTTCTTTACGTGCTGAATTAAAGAAACTAAAAAAAGTGTTTTATTTTTTACCCAACATCATAAATAACTACAATAACCTCAGATGGATTTTATTCCTTGTTTTATAACTCAAACTAATTTAATTGACTTTGCTACTGTTGACTCGCTTGATCTGAGTTGATTATATCTGTTTATTATTGGGTATTCTATACATTTTAATTCTTTTTCTGCTATTATTACTTTAAAAATGTTTGGTTTACAATGATCTTAACTAGCTTATTTTAATTAATAAGTGATGAAAATATGTCAGAATCAAAAAAGCAAAATGGTCTTCGTTCGCTAACAAAAAACTTTGAAGGTCAAAGGTTTAACCCTTAATTGACTCACAAAACCAAACTAAGTGAAGATATTTGAATTCTTCAAGCAGAACTTTTAAAGTCAATCAGATTTAATCAAAGGTTAATTGTAATTTTATTGAGTTGCATGTATACAAATATTTATCAAATATAAAGAAAATTGTTTCAATTAATCAGTTATCAGATCCATAATAGGACATAAATTGGTTATTGCAATCCTGAGATTTTTGAGTGATGGTCTAGTTCTTGCATTTTCTATTTTGTTTAAAAATTATAAAATTATTATTAAATTTAAACGAATTAAGGATCAATAAAACAGTTTTTAGACAAGGTTCATGAATTAATTCTTTTTAAAGTAAATCAAATCGCTTAAGAGAACTATTAAATAAGATTAAAGTAATAGAAAGACAGTATTTTTGTAATATAAATTAAAAGCGGTATGATATATAATGAAATTATTTTATAATTTTTAGTATATTTATATGCATTTATTTATCTATTAAATAAACTAACCTCTTTATTAATGAAATAATAATTATCATCAAAACACTGTTTTATTGTTTTTAAAAAGAGTATACTTTTTTTTTGGTAAAAATATGTTTTCGTAGATGTGATTTATTTTGTCAAAATATGTGCTCAACTTATCTTCTTTGTCTCGGATGTCTGATGAGAAAAACAATCGAGGGAAACGAATGATAAAGTTATTAAATTATTCTGTAAGATTATACTTTTTAATGATCTTTTTTAAATCTGGAATTTTTACTTAAAATTCTTCTTTTACCAATTCATAGCTTGTATTATCAAAAGAGCTAAGAAACTTAATGAACATCCTAGTGATGTTTTTTTTATAATTATTACTCAGACCTTTTTTTTCTTCTTCTTCCATTATTTAATTTTTTTGTTTCTAGCTTTAGGTTTGAGGGAAATCAGTTCAATAGAATAGTTAATTAATTGATAGGATGATTTTGGTAATTATGATTATTTTCTTATCTAAATTAATTATTTATTAAATAGTAAATATTTTGAGGTTATTTAATGTCATTTTGAAAATTTATTAAAAGTATTGTATGAATACAAAAATTTTAATTAAAAAATTCGAATAAAATAGTTTCATAACTCACGGTACACCCTAAATTAATTTATAAGTCATAAAATAGAAATAAACTAATTAGAATATTAAAAAGGAATTAAAATAGAAATTATGAAGAGACCTTTTTTTCTTCCATAACTTAATTTTTTTGTTTCTAGCTTTAGGTTTGAGGGAAATCAGTTGAATAGAATTAGTTAATTATTTGATAGGATGATTTTACTAATTATGATTATTTTCTGTGCTAAATTAATTATTTATTAAATAGTAAATATTTTGAGGTTATTTAATGTCATTTTTGTAAATTTATTAAAAGTATTTTATGAATAAAAAAGTTTTAATTAAAAAATTAGAATAAAATAGTTTCATAACTCACGGTATACCCTAAATTAATTTATAAGTCATATAATAGAAATAAACTAAGTAGAATATTAAAAAGGAATTAAAATAGAAATTATGAAGAGATCTTTTTTTCTTCCATCGCTTAATTTTTTTGTTTCTAGCTTTAGTTTTGAGGGAAATCAGTTGAATAAAATTAGTTAATTAATTAATAGGATGATTTTGCTAATTATGATTATTTTCTGTGCTAAATTAATATTAAATAGTAAATATTTTGAGGTGATTTAATGTCATTTTTCTAAATTTATTAAAAGTATTTTATGAATAAAAAAGTTTTAATTAAAAAATTAGAATAAAATAGTTTCATAACTCATGGTATACCCTAAATTAATTTATAAGTCATATAATACTAATTAAAATGTAAATAAGGAATTAAAATAGAAATTATGAAGAGACCTTTTTTTTCTTCCATTACATAATTTTTTTGTTTCTAGCTTTAGGTTTGAGGGAAATCAGTTGAATAGAATTAGTTAATTAATTAATTAATAGGATGATTTTGCTAATTATGATTAATTTCTGTGCTAAATTAATTTAAATAGTAAATATATTGAGGTGATTTAATGTCATTTTTGATAATTTATTAAAAGTATTTTATGAATAAAAAAGTTTTAATTAAAAAATTAGAATAAAATAGTTTCATTACTCATGGTATACCCTAAATTAATTTATAAATCATATAATAAAAATAAACTAAGTAGTATTTAAAAAAGGAATTAAAATAGAAAATTATGAAGCTAATTAAAAGGAAGTGTAGTAATCATTTTTTATATTCCAATTTTGTTTTTATCATTTATTAAATATACAGATCAACAACCCAATTTTTGAAAACATAAATTATGAATACAAAATTAACAAATAAAAAATAGTTAAAATATAGCTATTCCTGCATTTGAAAAATCATGAACTATGACATCATGATTTATGATATTTCAAATAATTTTTATATTAGTAAATTTATTTACTGTAAAAAAAATTTTTTACTCTCAAAATTTGAAAATAGGTTTCTATATTTTTGATTAATTTAAAACCTTAAAAATTTTTTTATTTCAAATCAAAAGTATTAATTAGAATAATAAACAACAAATTATATAAATTTTAATAATATTTTTAATTCATTTTGATATAATTTAAATTTATTCAGATGAAGAAGATTATGCTTTATAGCCACACCTTTATTGGTTTTTGACTTTTATTTTAGTTTCTTCTATTTTTTATAGATCTTTTAAATTTTTTTAGTAATATTTTTCAACAAATGACTAAGAATAGACTGAATATTCAACATCTTCGAAAAAAAGAGAGAGCTCTTTATTAATAAACTCATCAAAGGTAAGATCCATTTTGTTTGATAAAATTTTTTGTCTATAGCTAATTAGATTTTTAAGATCTTCTAAATCAACATCTATCTCAGCTATTGAGAAAATATATTCAAAAGGTAAATTAGATATTTTTTTAGCTTTATATAAAGGTGAAGCTTGTTTCTTTGTTTAATGAAGCACAATATCAAATCCATCAAAAGTATTTATTTTAATAGATATTTTTACTTCTTTTTGTAACTAGCAATGTTTTGTTAAACCAATTAATGATTGTCTCATTATTTCATCCTAATCTTTGATTAACTCTATCTTTTAATTTCTCAATAACATTGAACTTAAGCTCTACTCATTAACCCCAATTAACTCTAAAAAAGACTTAGAGTAACCTGCTTGTACCATTTCTACATCTTTTTTCTAAAAGTTGATTCTACCAATTGAATACTAAAACATTTAATTTTCGTTCTCTTTAGAGTATTTTTTAATATATTCAATACATGAATCTATATGTTTTTGAAACTCTTCATTTTAAAATTATATTAACTCTTTATTTAACTCTACAGATTCTACTGAGTTTATAAGGAATCTCTAAACTTGTTTATATTTAACAAGTGCAATATTTGCTTCCTAAATCATTTTACAAGGAGTATGCTGAATATATTCTAAGGCTTATTCTATAGATATTCTTGGTTTTTAATCTACATTTTGGACAATGATCTAAAAAATTTAGTTATTTTACAGAAAATTAGTTAATTAGGTTTATGCATAACCAAAACTAACATTTCCTAAAGAAAAACCAAATTTAAGAATTCCCTAGCTGCTAAGAATCAAACCTGTAGATAAATGCATATCGCTCTGACAACTTGCAATTTCTTTAATGATAAATTGCTTGTTTTTATGCTTTTATTTTATTTTTTTTATTCCATTTGATTTTTTAAGAGGAATCATTGTTAACTACTAATCAGGGTATTTTTAGTTACTAGATGGCGATGTATTGTAACAAAGATAATTTTCATTTGATTAGAAGCACTGTCTTTTAAATTTATCTAGAAATTCTTCTTCGGTTTAAAGTAAATACTCGCTTTAAATTTTGTAATGATCTAAATTAATGAATTCTACTTCCATTTTAGAAAATAAAATAAGTTAATTATTTATTGTTATTGTTTTTGTTTGTCTTTTTCTATATTAATAAAGATTGATATTAATAATTATGGTATTTGTAATTATTTGAGTTTAATAATTGATGTATTATGTAAACAAATGTAAAAATTTGATTTTAAGAATAGACTAACTAACAAATAATTTAGAAATTTCCTTAAGCCTTTTCTGATCAAATTCTAAAAATAAAAAGTGCTATTAAAATCATCAATAATTATTAATAAATATGTCTTACATAAAAAAGCTAAACCTATTTATAGCTATCATTATTATAATAACAAACATAAAACTCTTAATTTAAGAGTTGATATAAATGATCTAATAAACAAAAAAGTGTTAATTATTAAGTTGAGAATTTAAAACATATAAAAATGTAGTAAAATATAATTATTAATTGTTTATTAAATATTGTATTTAATTTATTTTAATTCAAAATTTTCTATAAAAAATTAAGTAAAAATATATAGAGCTTCAAAGCAATTCACTTGACTGAAGAGTCTATATAATACAATTGATTTCAAAAAATAATTTAAGAATATATTAATGGTGATTACTACTAAAATAAATATGTAAATATTTTGAAAATTCACAAGAGAGATTTGTATAAAAAATAAAAAATTAGAAGATATTTTTCAAGTTTTATTTAAAATTTAAAAATATTTACATTACTTTTTATATTTATTTCGAATCATGCAAATTTTAATCATTTTTAAAAATTAAATTTACATAAAATAAAAAAATTTTAATAAATACTCATTCATTTATATATAACTTTAATTTAAGATAATGAGTTTGATGAGAACTATACAGTTTTATAGCCACATCTTATTTCATTTTTTTACTTAATTTTTTCTAATTTTTAAAGTTCTCTTAAATTATCTTGGTAAAATTTTTCTATAAATTATTAAGATAAGACTGAATACTCAACATTTTCAAAAAGAAGAGAAAGTTCCTTATTAATAAATTCATCAAAAGTAAGATTCTTTTGGCTAGAAATAATTTTTTATCGATATTCTATCAAATTTTTCAAATCTTCTAATTCAACATCAAATACAGCAATACAAAAAATATATTCAAAAGGTAGATTAAACAATTTCTTAGCTTAGTAATTAGGAATTACTTGTTTCTTTGTTTAATGAAGCAAAATATCAAATCCATCAAAAGTGTTTATTTTAAAAGATGTTTTTATTTCTTTTAAACTTTGACTATGTTTTGTTAAACCTATTAATGATATTCTCATTATTTCGTCTTAATCTTTGATTAGCTCTATTTTTTAGTTTCTCAATAATAAAGAGCTCAAGCTCTATTCATTGACTCCAATCAAATCCAAAAAAGGCTTAGAATATCCAGCTTATATAATTTCTACTCCTTTTTTCTAAAAATTGATTCTACCAATTGAATACTAAAACATCTACCCTTAATTATCCTTTACATATTGTTTAATATATTCGTTGCAAGACTCTATATGCTTTTAGAATTCTTCATTCTAAATTTTGATTGATTCTTAATTTATCTCTACAGATTCTACTACATTAAATAGTAGTTTCCAAACATCTTTATAAAAAACTAATGCATCTCTAGCTTCCTATACTTATTTGCAAGGTGTATGCAAAATATACTCTAAAGCTTGTTCTACAGAAATTTTAGGTGCTTATTCATTGTCGATCATGTGATTCTAAAATATTTAATCATTTTGTAGAAATTTGATGAATTATGTTTATGAATAACCAAAACTAACATGTCCTAAAGAAAAGCCAAATTTAAGGATTCCCTGATTACTCAGAGTCAATCCAGCTGATATTTATAAATCCTTCTCAAAGTTTAATATTTATTTGATAATGTATTGTTGGTTTTTAAGCTTTTTTTTATTTTTTTTGATTCCATTCGCTTTCTTAAGAGGAATAGACTTTTACTGCTAATTGTATTTATTTTTTTATCTAATTGATATGGTTTTTTCGTAACAAAGAGAATTTTTTTAGGATTAGCATTATAATACTTTAAAATTATCTGAAATTTATTCTTCAATTTGAATGGAAAAGTCATTTTGAGGAACTCCATGCTTTATATCAATGAACTCTACTTCCATAATTAAAAAGTAAAGTTTACTGATTTATTTATTATTTCTTTTTAATATCTTTTCTACAAATTCATAAAGATTTAATTAATTTTTTATACTGAGATTTCTATTGGCAGTGAATGACCTTACAAAATTTATTTATTAAAAAAAATAAGATGTATGAAGGCAAAAATCAAAAGTTTCTAACAATTTCCGAAATTTATCTAAAAGTAATTGTAATGCTTAGATTATAATTTGTTAATGAAAAGCAGTAAGACAAGTATAAAAATTGAATTGAAATATTTATTAAGTAGAATATGATAATTTAATGAAGTAAATGAATACTATTTTACAATATATTTTTTATTAAATATAATATAAAAAATATGAAGTTAAGCATTTTATTAAATTGCATAAAAAATTAAAGATATTTATATTTTATTTTTAGGATCAATCTGAAGTATTACCATAACTTATTATTAATCCTTTAAATACCAAATTACTTATTTTTTTATGTAAAAAGCCAAATAAAAGTTAAAATAAAATGAAATGAGGTTTTGTTTAAGTGTTGGTATCTAATTAATCATGGTAAATAAAAAAAGGATAGAAATATGATTGATAGATAATAGTTGAGATTAAAATATAACTGGCATGTAAAAGCTTGGCATTTATATAATTTCATAAGATATAATAGAATACTAAAAATTTTAAATTATTTTATCCTTTTTGGAGAAACAGGAGAGTTTGTTTAAGAGGAATTTATTTATTTAAGTAAATTTAATTTTTTTATTTTTTATTTTTACAAACAATTTATTTACTTACAAAAATATAAATGATTTTTATAATAAAAAACAATAATAAAATCTAATATATTTTAGGTTAAAAAAACTTTTCCAAAATATTAAAAAATAAAAAAACCTTTAATATTCTATTATTTAAACATTTAATATTTATTCTACTTTTTTCGTCATTTGCTTATCATAATCATAATTTTTTAAAGACAACTAATCTTTTTGATTTAAGACACTTGCTTATTACTTTTAATTTTTATGATGAATTTATCTGGCTAAAATTTTATAATAAATTTGTGTAAATTTTAAATATCTAATAGAATAAACTTTTAAATTAAAAATTATTTCTTAAATTAATATATAAATTAATAAAATAACATTAATCGAATTTAAAATAAAAAAAATAAATCAAATAAATTCAAAGAGCTTTTTTGTTTTAAATAAGTTTTTTAATTAAAAATACCACAATTCAAAACAAATAAACTGTTTTTACTTAATGCAAAGTGACAAATTTGAGAGATTAATGCAATTTGTAAAACCAGAACCTAAGCCTAATGCACCTTCATAACCAATCTTATTGAAACTTTTTAAATATTGAAGAAAAAATATATAATTAAATAGTTAATTAGAAGGAAAAAATGAAGAAAGAAATGAAATAATAAGATTAATTAGTTGATAATAAAAGCAAAAGTTAAAAAGAAAATCAAAAATAAAGCAAGCACAATAAAAAGCAAAAGAAAAGAGAGCTTTGTTGTTTTAAATTAGTTTTTATAATTCAAAATATCACAATCCAAAACAAATAAACTATTTTTACTTAAGGTAAAGTGTTAAATTTGAGAGATTAATGCAATTTCCTAAACCAGAACCTAAGCCTGATGCACCTTCATCGCCTATTTAATTCTACCTTTTTAAATATTGAAGAAAAAATATATCATTAAATAATTAATTAGAAGGAAAAAATGAAGAAAGAATATGAAATAATAAGATTAATTAATTGATAATAAAAACAAAAGTTAAAAAGAAAATGATGAGTTAAATTACAAAGAAAGAACAAAACAAAAAAGCAAGCACAATAAAAAGGAAAAGAAATGAGAGCTTTATTGTTTTAAATTAGTTTTTATAATTCAAAATATCACAATCCAAAACAAATAAACTATTTTTACTTAAGGTAAAGTGTCAAATTTGAGAGATTAATGCAATTTCCTAAACCAGAACCTAAGCCTGATGCACCTTCATCACCAATTTTATTGCAACTTTTTAAATATTGAAGAAAAAATATATCATTAAATAGTTACCGTAATTAGAAGGAAAAAATGAAGAAAGAATATGAAATAATAAGATTAATTGATTGATAATAAAAGCAAAATTTGATAAGAAAATGATGAATTAAATTAACAAAGTAAGAACAAAAAAAAAATGCAAGAACAATAAAAAGGAAAAGAAAAGAGAGCTTTATTGTTTTAAATTAGTTTTTATAATTCAAGATATCACAATCTAAAACAAATAAACTGTTTTTACTAAAGGTTAAGTGTCAAATTTGAGAGATTAATGCAATTTCCTAAACCAGAACCTAAGCCAGATGCGCACTTTGCACCAATTTTATTTTACCTTTTTAAATATTTAAGAAAAAATATATCATTAAATAGTTAATTAGAAGGAAAAAATGAAGAAAGAATATGAAATAATAAGATTAATTAATTGATAATAAAAGCAAAAATTGAAAATAAAATGATGAGTTAAATTAAAAAAGAAAGAACAAAAAAAAAACCAAGCACAATACAACACTATGAAAAAGAAAAGAGTGCTTTATTGTTTTAAATTAGTTTTTATAATTCAAAATATCACAATCCAAAACAAATAAACTGTTTTTACTCAAGGTTAAGTGTCAAATTTGAGAGATTAATGCAATTTCCTAAACCAGAACCTAAGCATGATGCATTTTTGTCACCAATTTTATTACCACTTTTTAAATATTGAAGAAAATAAATATCATTAAATAGTTACCTTAATTAGAAGGAAAAAATGAAGAAAGAATATGAAATAATAAGATTAATTAATTGATAATAAAATCAAAAATTGAAAAGAAAATGATGAGCTAAATTAATAAAGAAAAAACAAAAAAAAAGCAAGCACAATAAAAAGCAAAAGATTATAATTCAAAATATCACAATTTAAAACAAATAAACTGTTTTTACCAAATGTTAAGTGTCAAATTTGAGAGATTAATGCAATTTCCTAAACCAGAACCTAAGCCTGATGCACCTTCATCACCAATTTTATTGCTACTTTTTAAATATTCAAGAAAAAATATATCATTAAATAGTTACCGTAATTAGAAGAAAAAAATGAAGTAAGAATATGAAATAATAAGATTAATTAATTGATATTAAAAGCAAATTTTAAAAAGAAAATGTTGAGTTAAATTAACTAAGAAAGAACAAAAAAAAAAGCAACACAATAAAAAGGAAAAGAAATGAGAGCTTTATTGTTTTAAATTAGTTTTTATAATTCAAAATATAATATTCCAAAATAAATAAACTGTTTTTACCGAATGTTAAGTGTCAAATTTGAGAGATTAATGCAATTTCCTAAACCAGAACCTAAGCCTGATGCACCTTCATCACCAATTTGATTGTACCTTTTTAAATATTGAAGAAAAAATATATAATGAAATAGTTACCGTAATTAGAAGGAAAAAATGAAGAAAGAATATGAAATAATAAGATTAATTAATTGATAATAAAAGCAAAAGTTAAAAATAAAATGATGAGTTAAATTAACAAGGAAAGATCAAAAAAAAAAAGCAAGCACAATAAAAAGCAAAAGAAAAGAGAGCTTTATTGTTTTAAATTAGTTTTTATAATTCAAAATATCACAATCCAAAACAAATAAGCTGTTTTTACTCAAAGTTAAGCGTCAAATTTGAGAGATTAATGCAATTTCCTAAACCAGAACCTAAGCCTGATGCACCAATTGCACCAATTTGGTTGTACCTTTTTAAATATTGAAGAAAAAATATATAATGAAATAGTTACCGTAATTAGAAGGAAAAAATGAAGAAAGAATATGAAATAATAAGATTAATTAATTGATAATAAAAGCAAAAGTTAAAAATAAAATGATGAGTTAAATTAACAAGGAAAGATCAAAAAAAAAAAAGCAAGCACAATATAAAGCAAAAGAAAAGAGAGCTTTATTGTTTTAAATTAGTTTTTATAATTCAAAATATCACAATCCAAAACAAATAAGCTGTTTTTACTCAAAGTTAAGTGTCAAATTTGAGAGATTAATGCAATTTCCTAAACCAGAACCTAAGCCTGATGCACCTTCATCACCAATTTGATTGTACCTTTTTAAATATTGAAGAAAAAATATATAATGAAATAGTTACCGTAATTAGAAGGAAAAAATGAAGAAAGAATATGAAATAATAAGATTAATTAATTGATAATAAAAGCAAAAGTTAAAAAGAAAATGATGAGTTAAATTAATAAAGAAAGAACAAAAAAAAAAGCAAGCACAATAAAAAGGAAAAGAAAAGAGAGCTTTATTGTTTTAAATTAGTTTTTATAATTCAAAATATCACAATCTAAAACAAATAAACTGTTTTTACTTAAGATTAAGTGTCAAATTCGAGAGATTAATGCAATATGCTAAACCAGAACCTAAGCCTGATGCACCTTCATCGCGTATGTTATTCTCCCTTTTAAAATATTGAAGAAAAAATATATCATTAAATAGTTAATTAGAAGGAAAAAATGAAGAAAGAATATGAAATAATAAGATTAATTAATTGATAATAAAAGCAAAAATTAAAAATAAAATGATGAGTTAAAAGAAAGAACTACAAAAAAAAACAAGCACAAAAAAAAAATTCAAAATATCACAATCCTAAACAAATAAACTGTTTTTACTTAAGGTAAAGTGTCAAATTTGAGAGATCAATGCAATTTTCTAAACCAGAACCTAAGTAAGATGCACCCTTTGCACCAATTTAATTAATTCTTTTTAAATATTGAAGAAAAAATATATCATTAAATAGTTAATTAAAAGGAAAAAATTAAGAAAGAATATGAAATAATAAGATTAATTAACTTATAATAAAAGCAAAAGTTAAAAATAAAATAATTAGTTAAATTAACAAAGAAAGAACAAAAAAAAAATCAAGCACAATAAAAATAAAAATAAAAGATAGCTTTATTATTTTAAATTATTGGGGTATTTTTAATGTTGGAAACCAGAGATTACCAGAATAATTTGATAATGATTTTAGAGAAATTGATTTAAGTAAATTTAATTAGTAAATTTTCATGTATTTAATAAGCTATTTATTAACTTACCAAAATAAATTAAATTTTTAAATAAATAAATAAATAAAAAATAATAAATTTATCTATCAATATTTTAGGTTAAATTATCTTATTACAAAATATTATATAATAAAACATATTATTTACTATTACTCAAATATTTGATATTTATTCATCCTTTTTTTAATCATCAATCGAAAGATATTTCAAGGGCAACTAATCTTTTTGATTTAAAACAGTTTCTAATTACTTTCAATTCTTATTATTTATCTATTTGGTTTTTGCTTTTATATAATAGAAGGAAAAAATATTAACTAATAAGAGATGAATTAATAAATAATAAAAGCAAATGTTGGGAAAAAAAAAATAAGTTAAATTAAGAAATCTAGAAGAAAAATAAACGCAAGTACAATTAAAAAATAAAAGAAAATAAATTAAATAAATAACTAAAAGAATTATATAATTTTAAATTCATTTTTAAAACTAAAAATATCACAATCCAAAACAAATAAACTTTTTTTACCTAAGATCAAGTGTTAAATTTGAGAGCTTAGTGAAATTTGTAAAAGCAGAACTTAATTTTGATGCACTATAATCACCAATTTAATTGTCACTTTTTAAATATTAAAGAAAAAATATATTATTAAATAGTTATTTAGAAGGAAAAAATGAAGAAAAAATATGAAATTAAAAGAAATGAATTAATAAATAATAAAAGCAAATGTTGAAAATAAAAAAATGAGTTAAATTAAGAAATGTAGAAGTAAAAAAATACAACTACAATGAAAAGTAAAAGAAAAAAAATTAAATAAAAGGTAAATAAACATATCAAAAGAATTAAATAGTTTTAAATTCATTTTTATAACTAAAAATAAAAACAAATAAAGTTTTTCTACCAAAGATGAAGTGTCAAATTTGAAAGATTAGTGCAATTTGCTAAAGTAGAACATAAGTCTGATGCACCTTAACCAATTTAATTGCCACTTTTAAATATTCAAGAAAAAATGTGTACTTAATTTGTTACTTATGAGGAAAAAATGTTGAAAAAATATGAAATAATTAATTAACAAATAATAAATAAATAAATTTAATAATAAAAGCAAATGTTGAAAATAAAAAAATGAGTTAAATTAATAAATTTAGATGAAAAAAAGTACAATTTAAAAAGTAAAAGTAAAATTTAAATAAAAGGCTTAACAACAATTTTAAAGAATAATAGTTTTAAATTAATTTTTAAAACTAAAAATATCATAATCTAAAACAAATAAACTGTTTTTACCGAAGATAAAGTGCCAAATTTGAAAGATTAGTGCAATTTGCTAAAGCAGAACCTAAGTCTTATATACCTTTTGAGCAAATTTTATTAAACCTTTTTAAATATTCAAGAAAAAATATTTCATTAACTAGTTACTTAGAAGGAAAAAATGAAGAAAAAATATGAGGTTATAATAAATGAATTAATAAATAGTAAAAGCAAATGTTGAAAATAAAAAAAATGAGTTAAATTAAGAAATGTAGAAGAAGAAAAAATACAACTACAATGAATAAGTTAAAGAAAAAAAATTAAATAAAAAGCAAATAAACAAATTAAAAGAATTAGATTTAAATTCATTTTTATCACTAAAAATATCACAATCCAAAACAAATAAAGTGTTTCTACCAAAGATGAAGTGCCAAATTTGAAAGATTAGTGCAATTTGCTAAAGTAGAACATAAGTCTGATGCACCTTAATCACCAATTTAATTGTCACTTTTTTAATATTCAAGAAAAAATGTGTACTTAATTTGTTACTTATGAGGAAAAATGATGAAAAAATATGAAATAATAAGAAATAATTAATTAATTAATTAATATAATAATAAAAGCAAATGTTGAAAATATAAAAATGAGTTAAATTAAGAAATGTAGAAAAAGAAAAAATACAACTATAATGAAAAGTAAAAGAAAAAAAATTAAATAAAAGGCAAATAAACAAATCAAAAGAATTAAATAGTTTTAAATTCATTTTTATAACTAAAAATATCACAATCCAAAACAAATAAACTGTTTTTACCTAAGATCAAGTGTCAAATTTGTAAGATTAGTGCAATTTGCTAAAGCAGAACCTAAGTCTGATGTACCTTAATCACCAATTTAATTGTTACTTTATAAATATTCAAGAAAAAAATGTGTACTTAGTTAGTTATTTATGAGGGAAAAATGAAGAAAAAATAAGAAATAATTAATAAATAATAAAAGCGAATATTAAAAAATAAAAAAATGAGTTAAATTAAGAAATGCAGTAAAAAAAACACAAGTAAAAAATGAATGTAAAAGAAAAAATATTCAATAAAAAGCTAATAAATAAAATAAAAGAATTAAATAGTTTTAAATTAATTTTAATAACTAAAAATATCACAATCCAAAACAAATAAACTGTTTTTACTAAAGATCAAGTGTCAAATTTGAAAGATTAGAGCAATTTGCTAGAGCAGAACCTAATTTTAATGCGCCTGTTGCACCAATATAATTTTATCTTTTTAAATATTGAAGAAGAAATAAAAAATTAATTAGTTAATTAGAAGGAAAAATTAAGAAAAAATATGAATTAATAAATGATAAAAACAAATTTTGAAAATAAAAAAAATGGATTAAATTAAGAAATCTAGATGAAGAAAAAAACGTAAGTACAATTAAAGTAAAAGAAAAAAATTAAATAGAAGGCTAATAAAAAAATTGAAAGAATTAATTAGTTTTAAATTCATTTTTATAACTTAAAATATCTCAATCCAAAACAAATAAATTATTTTTACCTAAGATCAAGTGTCAAATTTGTAAGATTAGTGCAATTTGCTAAAGCAGAACCTAAGCCTGATGCACCTGTTGCACCAATTAAATTGTAACTTTTTAAATATTCAAGAAAAAATCAATAATTAATTAATTAGTTAGAAGGATAAAATGAAGAAATAATAAGAAATGAATTTATAAATATTAAAATAAAATGTTGAAAATAAAAAAATGAGTTAAATTAAGAAATGGATAAAAAAAAATCACAAATATAATTAAAAAGTTAGTGAAAAAAAATTAAATAAAAAGATAATAAATAAATTAGAAGAGTTAGTTTTAAATTCATTTTTATAACTAAAAATATCACAATCTAAAACAAATAAACTGTTTTTACTAAAGTTCAAGTGTTAAATTTGAGAGATTATTGCAATTTATTAAAGCTGAACCTAAGTCCGATGCACCTTAATCGCCAATTTGATTGTTACTTTTTAAATATTCAAGAAATAATGTGACTTAATTAGTTATTTATGAGGAAAAAATATGAAATAATAAGAAATAATTCATAAATAATAAAACAAATGTTAAAAATAAAAAATGAGTTAAATTGAGAAATTTAAAAGAAAAAAAAAAACAAAGTACAATTAGAATGTAAAAGAAATAAAAAAATTAAATAGTTTTAAATTCATTTTTATAACTAAAAATATCATAATCCAAAAAAAATAAACTGTTTTACAAAAGATAAAGTGTCAAATTTGAGAGATTAGTGCAATTTGCTAAAGCAGAAACTAGATTTGATGCACCTGTTGCACCAATATAATTAGCCCTTTTTAAATATTGAAACAAATATAATTAATAAATTAGTTATTTAGAAGGAAAAAATTAAGACAAAATATGAATTAATAATTAATAAAAGCAAATGTTAAAAATAAAAATGAGTTAAATTAAGAAATGCAGAAGAAGAAAAAAACACAAACACAATTAAAAAGTAAAAAATTAATAAAAGGCTAATAAACAAATTAAAAGAATTAAATAGTTTTAAATTCATTTTATAATTAAAACAATCCAAAATAATTTTTACCTATAATTAAGTGTTAAATTTGAAAGATTAGTGCAATTTGCTAAAGCAGTAATAAATTCTTATTCATCTTAATCATCAAATTAATTTGCACTTTTTAAATATTAAAAAAAATCAATAATTAGTTAGTTAATTAGAAAAAAAATGAAGAAAAATATGAAGTAATAAGAAATGAATAATAAAACAAAGGTTGAAAATAAAAAATGAATTAAATTAAGAAAGATAGAGAAGAAAAAACACAAATACAATTAAAAAAAAGAAAAATAAATAAAATAAAAAGCTAATAAACAAGTAAAAAGAGTTAACTTGTTATAAATTAATTTTTATAAATAAAAAATAATAATCCAAAACAAATAAACTGTTTTTATCTATTAAAAGTTTTAGAAGGAAAAAACGAATAAAAAATATTAAATTATAAAAAATGGATAATCAATTAAAAATTTAAAGAGAAAATTAAGTTAAAATAACCAAAAAAACATTTGTATTATTAATAAAATTAAATCATAAAGGTTATAATTTCTATTATTAAAATAATATTTTAAATAAAAAATGAAAGTTAAATATATAGAAAATATTTATTAGTAATAAGAATATTTATAAATTAAATGTACCTCAGATCAATATGGAGAATTTAGTGAGATGAAAGAGAAGATTTTACAAACTTTTAATATTAGTAAATATAAATTTAAAGTATTTTGATTAAAAAATAAATAATTACCTCTTCTAATTTTTAATATTTAATCTATTATATCATTTATTTTTTTTTTACAAAAATATTTAACAGTAATTTATGGAAATTAATTTAATTAATTATAAGTGGATAAAAAGAAAAAATAAATTAAATGAATTTATAAAATTGTTTCTCGTAATAGTAATCACAAAAAAGTTAGGATAACATTCATTATTAAATCTTTATATTTGCATTTAAAATCTTTACTTAAAAATATAGTTGGAACCATAGATTGGATATAAATAGAGATGTAATTATATATCGATATCGTATAATATATAAAATATAAAATATCGAATATAGCTTTCTCAATTTGTCAATCAATATTTTAAAAGATATTTTTTTTTAGATTTTAATTATATCTACCAGGTTTTTTTCAAATATTGCTAAATAAATAACTGACCGTCTTTAATTCCTACTATATATATTTTTAAGTATATGTTTTAAATAAAAATATTAAGTTTAAATAGTGAATGTGATATCTCTTCATAAAACAAAATAAATTAATTAATATTTGATAATTAATTAATTAATTAATTATTATATTTATTTGTTCTTTTTATCCATTTATAATCAATTAATTTGTTAATTAAATTTCATAAACTGCTATTCAATATTTTTGAAAAAAAAAATAAATGATATAATAGATTAAAAAATATAATCAATTAGAAGAAGTAATTATTAATTTTTTTATTAATAACTTTTAAATTTATATAAATTAATAAAAAAAGTTTAAAAGCTCTTCATTTTTATCTCATTAGGTTCTCCATATTGATCTGAGGTATATTTAATTAAAAAATATTATTTTTATTATTATTAATATTTTTTGTTTATTTTACTTTAAATTTGTTTGAATAAATAATTTATAAAAGAAATTATCATCATTATTCATTGATTTTTATTAAAACTTAAATTTTTTAGCAATTTTAACTTAATTTTCATTTCAATTTTTAATTATTTATTTATTATTCATTTTTTATTATTTGATATTTTTTCTTCATTT